AGGAATGCACGAAAGGTGCAGGAGTGCTGCTGCACATTGAAGTGCGCATTGCGGAAAAGTATCATGGCGAATGTGTGGGCTTAGTGGAGGATTACGTTATAATTTTTTCTCTCCTCACTTTTTAGGTATTAATTGAATATTCGTGATTTTAATGGAAAAAATAATTTTGTGTAAATGCGAATACAAAAAGGAGCATCTTACTCGTTGGAATTTTTCTCAAATAAAATTTTGTTGCGCCGGAAGGTGCAGCAAGAAAGGAATCACTGTTGCTATTTTTTCAAAATACCAACTCCTGAAAAGTATGAATTTTTATGAATGTTCTGTTCAATTCTATGTATATACTAAATATGGGAAAACATTAACTTTGAAATCAAACGAAAATCAGAATATTTTTAACGTAGGTTCAACAAAGCCATGCATTTTCTATCGTCAATCAATTTAAGATAATATACTGGAGTTTAACGACGATTTCTAGTATTTTAATTGGACGAATAATTATGCTTAAATTTATATACTAAATTGTACACCATTTGTATACAAATAAATACAAAATATGCACAATTGTATAATAATAAATAAATACTGCATAGACAATCTAGTAATAAATACTGGAGTTTATCGACGATTTCTAGTATTTTAATTGGACGAATAATTATGCTTAAATTTATAACTAAATTGTACACTAATTGTATACTAATAAATATTAAAATATATAGGAAATAGTAAGCATAATTCAACTTAACATATGTTTGAACTTTTAAAATATAAACCAAGTATATGTAGATGTTAAATAATGGGAAGATACTTCATTATGCAAGAAATTTAATATATATTAAAATATTAATTTTTCTACAGAAAAGACAAATGTGCTATGAGTTTCAATCCAAATAAATTTTGTGTTACTTATCCACAAGTAACGTCTTATAGTTACAATGTTAGTATCACAAAAGACAATAGATGTCGCCGAGTGCATGGGCTGACAGTTATATTAGCATACGCCCACTCAACTAAATCTAACCAAAAGTAATACAACATAACAACAAAAATGCTCCACAGTTGAATTTTTAATGTCTATATAAAAAAGTGCCTCGCTACAGCGCTATAGCCTTTTGAATGACTTAGCTACAAAAGTATTTTGATTTCAAACTCTTTAGAAATGTTGATAATGCAAGATCAGTTAAATGTCAACAAGGTTGTTTGGATTGTTGTAAGTTGACATGATGATAACTATTTAAAATATCTAATTTTTTTAACAAAATTTGGTAACACAATATGATCTCAATAATAAGTAAGTTCAATCATTTGGAGATAACGGCAGTCTAGATACAGAATCTTTATGTAATTATATTTGTCGACATAAGTAATTCTTTCTAATTTTTTTTTTTAATTTTGCTGAAAAGCTTTAAAGATAAGTGGATTAATACCATCAAAAAATACATAAAGGATAGAGCCCTGAAATTATTTGCAAAAACTGACAGATTTACTAACACCGCGTTATCAAATCTCAAAATGGTTACAGGCTCTTCGGAGAGGTATGTAGATCTGAGGTCAATTATTGCTTAGTCTGATGAAGTGATAAACATTAATCTAGTTAAGGTGTAGAGAGGGGTTTTGAAGAAACCTAGAGTTAAAAAAGAGTATAAGTGCTTAAGTGCACTAGCTCAAAACAGCTTCAACATAATATAAATTAAAAAAATAAATTATAAAAATAAATATTTAAATAATAAATATTTTAATTTATTAATTACTATGGTAGGAAGAGTTTGATGGAATTATTATGGATTGTTAAATTCACTTTATAAATAATTTAAAGTGAACAATTGTGCTTAATGTGTTGACCCATATGCCCAAGGCTTAAATTCGATATATTTTAATTCTAACACTTGCAGTATAAAAACTTAATGCAAGTAAATTAATGTAAGATATTTTTGAACCACACTGATAGTCGATATATGTCGATTTCCGTCACAGCTGTTTAGTAAAGGATTCACTTGATTAAAAATGAAATATTTTTATTTTTAAAAATTTTCCCACTGTTACCCGCTTTTCGATTTGAATTGAATTTTTTGTCAAAGTCTTAATACTTAAGTAATACTTAAGTACTAATTAAATTATTTTTTCTTTCCTTGCAATGAGAGCTTAAATATTTTATTTGATTAATAAATCTACCTACTGTATTGGTTTCCTTTTTTTTAGAAATCAAATAAAATTTGAGGAACTAAATATATCAAACATATACAAAAAGTGTGAGCAAAAAAGAGTTACACAGAAAACAAGGATAAACTACACTACACAGTAAGAAAAACTGTTAAGGCATTAAACGCCAGGAAACAGCATCCTGCTGGTGTGTTCGCACTTGTATTCGCAACCAGAAGAAAGCAAAAATTATTTACGAGCTGTCAAATCCCAGTTTACATGCGTGTGGCGCAATATCCGTAAAGCCTTAACGTTGGAATATGCTGGGATCAGACATGTTAAAACGGATGACTACGACGAAGTCAACCAACCGATGAGAAAAAGTTGAAAACACTGAAAAAAACTCATCCACGAAAATAATTTAAATTTATATACTTGAACATGTTGCCTCAACTGGGAGAGTGTGTATAGGTATATGTGTATATATGTGAGCACGTAGGCATTGTAGTTTATACTCGTATACATATTGAGTATCCATATAAAAATATATAAGTAATTTTTATGTGTGGTTAAGTTGTTTTTTATATTTATTTAAATAAAATTTAATTCACTCTTATAAAAGCAATTCGCACATACTTTGCAACACACTTTAAAACACTTAAACAACAGCACATAGGGATAATCATACGCAGCTACATACAAGGATACAAAAGTAAGTTCATTTGTTAGTAACTGCCTGAAACATTTCTAGCAGTCATACTCGTATACATTGTGTACTCGTATACGCAGTATCAGTACCCAGAAGTTCGTTTTTAAATTCCGCTTCAAGTAACAGTTAAGACGGCGACTGCTGAATCCAGAAAACAACCTGTTGTTAAAGCAATTATGTCTGCTGCAGCCCGACTTCATTGGAGGCAGTATGGATTTTATGTTAAATTTTTTATAACATATATGCTCCGCTTATATTCATTTTTTACATTTTTTACATTTTTTGTTGTTGTTTGTAATTTGGTATAAATGAAAGGCTTTAATTGTTGCAATACAATGCATTGGCAATGAGTGGCTGTTAAGAAAAATGTGACATTCACATCCGTCGCATAGACACAGACAGCGTCAGCAAAGGATACGAAAGTTCAAGCAAATGTAAATATTAACCAAGTTTTAATGGAAAATAAAGAAAATACTCGTAAATAAGCAACTTACGTTTTACGCTACGAGTATATAACATTTCTGCATGCGGCGGCATCGGCATCAAGAACTTCAGTTTTTTATTAATCGGCTCTTTAAAATGAAAATAATTAAGTATGATTGAAAACATTGTGTTTTATTGAGATATTCACTTTTGTTTAAATTATGTGACGAATGCATAAAATGAGGAGAATACTTGCAGGAAGGATAAGCATTCATCAACTAAGTGTAAGAAGCACTACTGAGTGCTTTAATTGCAATACAATTATTTGCTGTCGAAAAAGTATGGAGCTTCATTTTAACATATGAGTTCAAGAGTACTGTGAGAACGACAAGTTAATAAAATACAGAAAACTTTTTGAATTGCTTTCATAGCACAGAAAATGAAGTAAATTAATTTTAATTTAAATTTATTATAAACCATATTTATTTTGTTTTAATATAATAATTTATAATAAATTTATGATATAAGAAAATTTAATTTATTTTTAATTCTTACTGGCAATTTGATGCCATGAAGCATTTATTGTGAATACCAAAAATACTGTCAGACACACTTAATCTATCCATCTCTTCTGCAAATTAACTTCAATTTTAAATTAATATTTAATGTAGAACAAAATTTGATGCAATGAATAGTAAATAAAATAAAAAATATTGATATTCATATGT